TGGGACCTTATCCAGAGAAGCAGCAGCACCAGAGATGGAGGTAGAGATGGGGGCATGGAGGACTCTAGATTCATCAACTAAGAAGAGAAGGACTATGAGCTGGTGGCCAGGAGCAGACTTGCAGAATGTGCCCTTTGGATATGTAATTTATTATATATGCCTGAGTAGGTTTTTTTGTTTTTGTGTTTTTTTAAAAAAAGCTCAAGTGGATAAAGAGAAATACTTTTAACTGATGGTATATGGAGGGGATTATAATCAATATAATGAAACAAGTTATATGAATTGTTGAATGTGAAAAAAAAATGTATAATCAACTTGAGTTTATTGCAGAAATGCAAAGTTGAGTCAATGGTGAAAAAATGTATTAGAGTACGTTGCCATACTATGACATTTCAATACATGCAGAAAGCAATTTTTCATAAGATTCAATACATACTTAGAATTTAAAAAAACAAAACACCTTCTTACTATACTTCTGAATATATTGGTCCTTGGAAACTCTATATAGGGTTGCTATGAGTTGGAACTGACTTGACAACACCTAACAGCAACAAATAAATTAGGTGTGATGTCCTGAATTTTCCAATGTCTCTTCTAGTCATAGTCTGCTACTTCCACCAAACAACATTTCTTCCTTACTGGGGCCGGGTAAGAGAAGGTGGGAGAAAATACTGACAGGATGACATGATTCAGCTGTGGATGTTAGTCAACACGTATTTTAGGGTCACAAAATTCAATCTATAACAATCACTTTCAACTCAGATGATCTTACAATCTTTTCCTCTCATGTATAGATTTTCTTTCTATACCTAAGAAGCAGCATAAGGTAGTGGTATTCAACAGTTCCAACACATTTCATTTCATGTCACTGATTACAGTCCTCACAGTATGACATCACTCATCCCACTTCCTCCTTGTGCTTTCTGTTTCCATTCCTCCTCCTTTCCTAACACTTCTGGACTTTATTTTTAAGTAAATGTTACCCTTTTGATATCAAATGATTGATTCTTTGAAAGTGTGTGTGTTTCCCTAGAGTTATTGATCCCCTGAGAGACCTATGTATCGTTTGGTTAAAAATTGGGCCATGGGGGTAAGTTCATTTCCAGACCTGAAGGTGGAACCTCCAGATGAAGTCAGAATTGCAGGTGCTATAAATGTTTAGGAACTGAAATAATAAAGTTGGCCTGCCTGGACTCGGGTCCCTGCTCTGCCACCTAGCTGTGACATGACCCAACAAGTTAGTTACCTGTCTCATCTGTAAAATGGGGATAAAAATAGTGTTTTCTTGGTATGTTTTAAGTATGAAATTAGGTAATTTGTGGGAAGGGCTTGGAAACGAGTAATGTGTCGGTGAGTGATAAATGTAGGTTTCTGTAATTGGGTGACACATACACAAAATTCCAGTGTTAGAATCCTTGTATACTTATTAGAGATACAGTGGGAAAACACAACAAAACCCTTTACTACCAGTAACTGCTCTGTTCCTAGCATATGACGATTACCCATGTCCACCACTATGCCAGGGGCTCTGGAAAAAGCACAGAAAATCCAAAGTAGAAAGACACAGATCCCAGACTCCCACTTCCAACACCCACAACGTGGGAAGCTGTGGGATCTTGTGGTTCAGTAAGTTAAAAGGTCAAAGGGTTAGCTGCCCTAGGTGAGAAATTGGGAAAACTGTTCCCATTGGTTGGAGAGTGTTAAAAGACATCATGAAAATATGTGGTGTTTTTGTTTTTTTGAGGAGCATAGGCTGCACCAATCTCGCTCTGAAGAGAATGATTTTTTAAGAGAGGTTCTGCATTCAGGAAGCGCAATGAGCTTGGCTTCAAGGATTCCACGATTCTCTGAAGAGCATTAACTCGGTGACTTTGATGAACTAGAACTATTGAACTTCTAAGCCCTAAGCCGGATGAAACTGGCAATTTCACTTGGGAAGCTCTTGACCAGGAAAGGAGAGGGAACCTGAACTCCAAGGAAAGGGTGCAGCAGACCAAGGAACGGTTAAGAGAGGTTAGATTCCATTTCGACAGAGACAGGAGACTGGAATGTAAATTTTAACAAGAGATGAGGAAGGGCCTCAAACTACTGTGGGTAAAGCAAGGAATCCCGGACTCCGGAAGCAGTCTCAGTTTCTCACTGTGGCAGAAAGAAGGGCTTCTCGATGTTGGCAAAGATAGTTAACACAAGCATCCTGGATTCCCGTAATCAAAGGTTCTCTACCAGCAAAGAAAAGGAAATGATTTCCAGAAAGTAGGCGAAGTAATTTGCATCGGGCTTCCCTCGCTTCTCTTCCCCCAAGCCTTCTACAAGCGCCCCAGGCCAGGGGTTTGGAATGCCTTCCCGGACAGGAATAGGAGACTGGAGGTAGCTGCCCTAGAGCGCTGGACCCTTGAGTGTCTGACTTCTCAGGGCATCCGAGCCGTGTCCCGGCCTCCAGGGATCGAGGTACACTTCTGGGGCGCTGGGCTCGACTCGGTGGAGTCAGTGTAGCCCGAAGGTGCTCGGCCAGAGACAGATGCCTACAGGCCTCGGAGCCCCACCGGGACCAGCCTGTGGGGTGGGGGCGGAGGCGCAGGACCGCCAAGCAGGCCCGCCGGAAGCTTGCCTCCGGAGGCCGGGTCCAGACGCACCGGGCGGGGGCGGGGCCGGCAACCCTGGGGTTAATGTCCGGCCCCGCCCCCGCCGCTCTGACTCAGTTTCACCAAATACTACCTAGAGGAGGTGGCCGAGCCCCAGCGCACCGGACACCGGTGCGGAAGCGGCGGCCGGAGACGAGCTGGAAGCCGAAACCGGAACCTTGGCGGACCCGGCCCCACCCCGCTCACCTGCACAGGTAACCCGCACCCCGGAACGCAAGGCAAAGCGGGCTCGGAGTATGTTTGGCCTTTTGTTTTGCGCTCTTGCCTGAGTCCGCGTGTGTGAGTTTCTTAGTTGTCCGTCTGATCGTCCGTCGGGCGGTTGGTCACCAGATTGTGCGTAGGATGGCCGGGGCCGCAAACACACCTCTCTCGCGAGGTGCGGGGTGCTCCCTGACCGCTCACTTCCTCCCGGCCGACCCGCCTTCCTTAAGGTCTCTTCGGCTGATCAGGTGTGTCTCCTCCTTGTTTCCTTCCCTCCCTCAGGCCTCAAGCACTCTCCAAGTCCAGAGGCCCGCACAGTGAAGGTGACCCCCTACGGGAGGAGGGCGAGGGCCCCCGGGAGGACGATGGCCAGCGCCCGTCTCGCTCAGGCTCTCATCCCTGTTGCCGCCGCGGTGTGCCTCCTGTGGGCTCTCGGCCTCCGGGGCATAGAGGCCGGGCCATCACCCTCGCCCCCCGGGCTGCCGGGGGGAGCCGCGTGCCTGGATCTCTTTACTGCCGGGGTACCTGCCTTCGTGCTCGACACTGAGGCCTCGGTCAGCAATGGGGCCACCTTCCTGGGCTCCCCCACTGTGCGCCGCGACTGGGACTGCGTCCGCGCCTGCTGCGCCACACACAACTGCAACCTGGCGCTCGTGGAGCTGCGGCCCCACGGCCTGGAGGATGACACCCCCTCCTGCTTCCTCATGAACTGCCTCTACGAGCAGAACTTCGTGTGCAAGTTCGCGCCCAGGGAGGGCTTCATCAACTACCTCACGCGAAAGGTTTACAGCAACTACCGGGACCTTCAAACCCAGGGCTTTGGAGGTATGGCGAAGGATGCTGGGATGGTTGGGTTTGGAGAGATTCAGAAAAGGGGCTAGCATATGGAGTCCTGGGGACAGTGAACATCAGAAATAAGCTGAAGAAGAGAGTCGCCGCCCCAAGTCCTTCTCAGAAATAGGCAGGCTGTATAAATAGTAAATTGAGGAAAGGGGATGTGCTTGAGAGGATGACATTTTACAGTCTGAATTTGGGATGTTCAGAGGAAGACCTTCAGCCAGGAGGTGTGTGTAGGGAAGAGTGGAGACAGCTACCCAGGATTTCCTGGCTTCTGGTTCTGATAGGCTGAGCCTGGGAACCAGCTGTGACTAGTAAGGTGCCTCTGGCCAAGCACTGTCCTGGGTACCTTGAGGCCTTGTCAAATGAACCTGCAGAGGACGGTCTCCTCCACTGGCTAGTTTGGGACTGGTTAATATCATACTGTTCCCTGTCTACCAGGACATAGTTAGCTGTTTAGTGGTCTGGGAAAGGCCACCAGACTCCAGAGACTAAAGAGCAAGCCCCAGGCAAGCCCAGTCTGAAGCTAACCCAAATCCAAGAGAGTGAAGGGGGTTGTTGTGGGCACAGTAGCCTAGAGGCTCTGGGGTGGGGAGGGAGGAAGGCTGCTGGGTGACTCAGCTCACTTGGTATGTATACCTGGTAAGGGAGGGATGTCAGCTGTCCTGGCAGGTGTGTGTGTCCGTCTATCTGTTTGCGTGTACCAGCTGACTTCTAGAATGAACCAGGCAATACTCTCCCTGCTTAGGATCTGGTAGCTAAGCTATCCATTTAGTTTACCTTATTTACCTCCACAGATAAGGGTTCAAAGTGGGGCCAGGGCCCCTCCAGAGACCTTTACTTGCTGCTCTGGCCATGTAGACTCCAGCACAGGGGCAGGTGTCAACAGTTCATTTCAGCACTTTGGTTTACTGAATCCTGCCCCACACGTTCTCTCACTGGGCTTCATGACACCCTCTGAAGAGGGAGCTATTAGTGGTCATTCCACTTTCTAGATCAGGAACTGTCCATAGATGGTAGACCTGGGAATTCAACCCATGGTCACCTCCAAAAGACCTGTATTGTTTTTTCACATTACACTACTTACCTAGTAGAATCCTAACTGGCCAGTACTGGACTGGGGCTATTTTACAAAATGAGGAAGGGTCTTTCCTATCAACTCTTTGACCTTTTCCTGAGCCAGTCCCTCCCTCAAACTGAAGGTCCTTATTTCTTTCTATCCTTCCAGTGACTCTCCTGTGTATCTGAGGAGAGATGGGATGAGATCAGATGAGGGGGCCACCATCTCTGGGCCAGGCTGGGTCCCAAGCCCCGCCTGCCTAGGACCAGAGCCTGTTCCTCTGGAATTGGCAGATAGTGTAGGTGGTAATGACTCTAATTGGCCTGTTCTGCCTGTATCCTTCCTGCTCTAACAGAGGCCCCATGGGAGTTCTGCTCCAGGGCCAAAGCTCCAAACTCTGGGGTCTTATCAGGGAGCTAGCTGGACTTGGACCACATGGCCTTAGGGCCAACCTTTCACATCTGGAAACCTCCAGGACAGGGCTGTTTGGCTCATGAAGGTGGAATGGGGATTTCCTGGGGCAATTCCGGAGCTGTATAGGGCCTGGGCTGTGCTTTGGAAAGTGTAGGAAGCTGTGTGTATGTTAAGGATTTTGTTCTCAGCTGAGTCCCACTAGAGAGATTGGATATGGCTAAGACCAGGAGTCCTGGTGTGGCACTGTGGGTTAATGCGTCAGATTCCAAAGTTGTTTGAACTGCAAGGTTGGTGGTCCAAGCTCACTAGCTGCTCCTTGGAAACCCTATATAGGGTCGCTATGGGTCGGAATCGATGACACTTAACAACAAGACCAGGGTAAAGCCATCAAGACATCCCTTAGATGCTGGGGAGTGAGGAAAGCAGGCTTGAGGTGAGGCAAGCAAGAGGAGGTGGGTGCTCAGGCTTCTAAACCTTTGATTCTTGTGTCAGGTAGAGAAATCCTCCCCAGGAAGATTTTGTTTGTTCCCTTTTATCTGCCTGTGGCCAGGCCAGTTCAGTCCAGATTCCTGAGGCTGGAGGCTTGCTCCTTCCTCCTCGCCCCTTTTTGGCCTCCCATCTCTTTCTTTTGGAGGAGTGGCATTAGAAGGTGGAGTCTGTGTTTCTCCAGCAGCTGGGGGATGGGCTGGTTTTATTGCCACTGAGCCCTTTGCTCTCTTGGGGATTAGGAAGAGGAAGTGGTAGGGCAGGGCATCTGTCCCTTGGTCCTTAGATCTGAGACTTGAGAAAACAGCTGTGTTCTAGTGTATCACTGCCACTTCTACCCTGGGGGCCTGGTGGGGCTAGCCTTCTGCTTTGTTGTTGTTAAGGGCTGGCCAAAGTAGGAAGGAACAGAGTCCTTCCAGCTCAGTGGCCCCTTGTAATGCCTCTTGGCCCCCCTCACTTTTTTACCAGTCAAACCTCTGGGGTTGGATCAAATCAGGCACTTTCTTTCCTGTAAACTCCTGAAACCCAGTTTCCCTTTTAACATTTTTGTAGGCCTCCCTCTGTACCAAAGTACTTGTGTGGCGCAAATTATTAAACCCTTAACTACTAGTTGAAAGCTTGGTGGTTTGAACCTACCTAGAGGCATCTCGTTAGACAAGCCTGACGATCTGCTTCTGAAAGATCACAACCTTGAAAACCCAGTAGAGCAGTTCTACTCTGCATACATGGGGTCACCCTGACACAGAATTGACAGATGACAACTAATGCCAACTCTGTACCATTTGACATTTATGAAAACTCTTCTCTCTCTTTACTCTGCGGTCACTCTTGTGTTCTGGTCTTCCCCCCTCTGTGACTCTTTGAGCCCCCTACTGGCTCTGCTTTTTCTGTCTCATCAAAGAGGAATCCCTACTGGTAAGGAGATAAGAACAACCAGCCTCCTACTGGTTGTTCTTATCTCCTTACCTTCCATTCTTCCGGTCTACTCTACTCACTCTTAACACTTGAAATAACTCTGTAGAATCTCTTTTGAGGGCAATTACACAGTATCTATCAAACCTTTAAATGCACATAAACCTTGATGCAGTTAACTTCTAGGGATTCATCTTACAGCTGTACTTAATGCATGTTATTGACTGTAATATTGTTTATATAGTAGCAAAGAATTGGAAAGACTATTCATTAGCACATCTTATAATTGATTATTGCAATCAAAACTAAAGCAGCATAGTTTAGTTCTTGTTGTCAGGTGCCATCGAGTCGGAACCAACATAGTAGCAGAAAAAAGGAAGGATGGAAGTGTTAACTTATTTAACTTAACAGGGAAGGTAGAATGGTTAAATAAATTATACAGTGGAATACTATGCAACAACAAAAAAACGAGAAATTGTCTATATATTGTTAGAGAATGATTTTCAAAATATACTTAGGGAAAAAGAAGATGAAGAACTCCAGAGAGTCACAAACACATACAATTGATGAAAGTAGATGCCTCTAGAACAGGGGTAGGGAATGTCCGGCCTATAGGCTGCATGGTTGGTTATGTGCTGTGTAGTTGGTTCTGACTCATAGAGATCCTCTATAGAGTTTCTGAGGCTGTAGATCTTTACAGGGGCCGAATGTCTTATCTTAAGTTGACAATTTTACATGGCCTGCGAATGATGTTATAAATTTTGACAGTAAAAATTTCCCCACCCCTGCTCTAAGGAGCTCTGGTAGCGCGGTTACAAGTTGGGCTGCTAATCTGTAAAGATTTACAGCCTTGGAAACCCTATACAGGGTCACTATGAGTTGAAACTGACTCCATGGCACATAACCATCACTACCACCACCTCAGCTGTAGAGAGAGGAAACTGGAGGGTTAAGAAGACAGGACTTAATTTTCACAACCCTTTTGTATTTAAAATGTTTTCATGTCATGCTGAGCTAAGGAAAAAGAACAATCCTTGGTTATAAAAGCAATCAAAAGCACACCTCTAAGCAGATGGATGGTTTGCAGCATGCTCTTTCAGAGAGAGCAGAAACTATGGAGATAGTGTTGTTTTTTAACTGATCTGGGTTCAAATCCTTACTCTACTTATTAGTAATTGAGAGACCCTGACCCAACCATTCAACTAGTCTAATTTTCTATTCTCTAAAGAAGGCTACGAATACAGTTTAGGCTTTGTGGGCCATACTGTCTCTTGTCACAATTGGTCAACTCTTCTGCTTTTATACAGACATTCCCTGGGTTGCCTGTAACCCCAGAAAGCCTATTATATTAAAAAATTGAGATACATACAATGATTTGTCATGTACATAAAAACATTATAATTACTATTAGTGTATTATGTTAATGTTTTTGTGTGTTGAAGTTTTTAATTTTTTTTATACATAGAAAGGTACACAATCGACTAAGACAAACATTTGACCCACCTTAGATGTGAACAGTACCTACTTACATACAAATTTGACCTAAAGACAGATGTAGGAATGGAACACATTTGTAATCTGGGGCTGCCTGGGAAAGTAACCTTAGACAATGTATTTAAAAAAAATGTGTGTGGTTGTGTTCCAATTTATGGAGACTGAAATGTGAATTTCATATCATTTTCACATGCTGTAAAATATTTTCCTCCTTTTGATTTTTTTTCTTTCAGCCATTTAAAAATGTACTAGGCAGTAGGTCAGATTTGGCCTGTGGGTCATAGTTTCCCAACTCCTGAAACAGGCAATGCATGTTAAATACCTAGCACAGGTTCTCTGGATGGTGCAGTTAGGCACTTGATTACTAACTGAAAGGTTGGTAGTTCAAACCTACCTAGTAGTACACCTCGGAAAACAGGCCTGGTGATTTACTGCTGAAAGGTCAGCCTTGAAAACTCTATGGAGTGGTTCTGTTCTGCACACATGGGTCATCATGAGTCAGAACTGACTCCATTGGACCAACAACAATCACATGACTTGTAATATCACAACAGATTGAATGCAGATTCTGAGACGCTAAATGATCTAGCACACTGGCTTCACAGATTGTAATAAATGCCACTCCAGAGCTGTCTCTACCACTGGCCTCTCTGGAGTTCCTACCACTTCTCCTACTCAATGCTGGTCAGTTCCTCTCCCAATGGTCTTCCCTTTCTCAAATCCAACTTCTGTGTGACTGAATGCACATGTTCCCTCTAAATTGCTTTCCCTTCCACTTGTTCCCTGGCTCTTCCTCCCCAGTTCCCATCAGGCCTAGCAGCCTGAAGTTTTCATCAGCATTGTTGGTCACATCCTCCTTTCCATCAGCCAAGGAATGGATTGCACCTGTTGTGCCTGCCCTGCACCTTTGCAGTGTCCCACTCACCTCCCATCCCCTTAGGAATACTTCCAAAGGGGTTGGTGAACTGTTGCTGCCCCTGTCCCATGGCCACTCCCTTAGGATTCTTGGACCGTACATCTAGGAGGACAATGTCCAGTGCAGCCAGAATTCTGCTCCACTGTCCAAAGTCAAATGTCTGTTCCCAGCCTGTACCAAAAAGCAGAAACAAAATCTAGTTGTTAAGTATTAAAATGTCATTCCTGCTGTGGGCCTAAGTTCAAATACGATGACCTACATCTAAGGTCCTTTGAGGTCTGTCCTAGCCCAGCTTATCTCCTTATGGTCCATGAAGCTAGCCTTGCAAGTTTCTAACTCTTTCTGTGGTTGATCATGTTTTCTACCATCATCAGGAACACCACACATTCTTCCCCACAAGCAAACACAAAAGCATCCCTTCTTCCTCCTCCAGAAAGCCTTCCCTTATTGTCCTTGCCTGCCTGTGGTGTCTCCCTTCGCTGAATGTCCATTGGCTTGTCCATGTTGTACATGTTGTTAGGGTTTTTCTGTGCTTTTATCTCCAACTAAACTGCAGTCTCCTGAAGGGAATTAATTTCCTGTAGCTGCTGTAACAATTGACCACAAATGACTAAAACCCACTGCCATCAAGTTGAATCTGACTCATAATGACCCTATAAGACAAAGTAGAACTATTCCATAGGGTTCCAAGGCTATCAACCTGGACAGGAGCATATAACCTCATCTTTCTCCTGAGGAGCAGTTGGTAGGTTCTAATTGCAGCCTAATGTGTAATTCACTGTGCCACCAGGGCTCCTGAAAATTAGGGAGTGTAAAATGACAAAAATTTATTCTCTCACAGATATGGAGGCCAGAAGTCTAAAATCTCCCTCCAGAATCTCTCCCCAAAGGTTCTAGGGGAGGACCCTTCCTTGCCTGTTCCAGCTTCTGGTATCCCTTGGGACTTATCTCGATCTTCATCTTCACTTGTTTTGTTCCTCCTCTTTGTCTTCTGTCTTTTATAAGCACACTGGTATTGGCTCTAGGCTCATTCGGGAGTCCTGGTGTGATGTTATAGGGTAAGCACTGGACCGCTAACCTTAAGGTCGGCAGTTCAAACCCACCAGCCACTCCTAGGAAACACTATATAGGGGTTGCTGTGAGTCAGAACTGACTCAAAGGCACATAACTTCTAACTTCCTCAGATAAACCAGGAGAGCTCATTTCGAGATCTTTTACTTCACTGCATCTGCAAAAGACTTTATCCAAAGAAGGTCTCAGGTCTAGATATTAGGATGTGGCCATATACTTGGATTTTGGGGGGCCACCATTCAACCCACTACAGGCAAGAATCCTGCTGTATGCATTTCTCCTTCTCCTAGCTCCTATCCGTGAGTGTGGAGAAGTCTCAGGGATAGAGTCTGTTGATAGGTGGTAGAAACACCGTGTTCCCTGGGCCCCATGGGTTTGCCATGTTGTTGCCCAGAGACTGTGTGTATAGGCCCTATGCAGATGGTTAATCAGGGGCCTCCCCTAGCCTCCGGTCAGCAGGGTAAGGGGTGATGGGTTTAATCACATGCTTATTTCTTTGGCTTTCTAAAAATATTGTACTTAAACTTTTTTAAAGCAATGAACACAGCCCAAACCAAAATACTGAATCCACCACTGTGGAGTTGATTCTAATTCCTAACAACCCAATGTAGGGTTTCTGAAACTAACAATCAGTCTTTACAGACAGCTTCATCTTTTTCCCACAGAGTCGCAGCCCAGTGCTTAACCCACAGTATTACCAGGGCTTCTTTAATTCTCACAAAACTGAAAACCCTCAGCCATCAAGTCTATTCTGACTTATAGCAACCCTGTATAAGTAGAGGGTAGATCTGCTCTGTAGGGTTTTTCAAGACTGGAAATCTTTTCTGGAGCAGATAACCTCATCTTTCTCCTACATAGCAGCTGGTGGGTTTGAACTGCTAACCTTGAGGTTAGCAGCCCAGTGCTTAGCCCACAGTTTCACCAGAGATCCTTTAATTAGCACAACTACCTGCTTATTACAGAAAATAGGAACAAGCCCCAAAAAAAAGAATCTGCATGTTGTATGCATTGAGTCAGTTCTGAGCCATAGCAGCCCTGCATGACAGAGTAGAAGTGCCCCATGGGGTTTCCTAGGCTGTAATCTTTATGGAATCACATTGCCAGATCTTTTCTCTTCTCTTAGGTAACTGCTGGTAGGTTTGAACTACTGACCTTTTGATTAGCAGCCAAATGCTTTGCTTAATCATTGTGCCACCAGGGCTTCGTATATATTGTGTGTCCTTACATATATGAGGGACGAGTCCCTTGAGAAGGACATCATGTTTGGTAAAGTGGCAAATCAGAGAAAAAGAGGAAGACCCCCAACGAGATGGATTGGCACAGTGACAGCAGCAATGGGCTTAAATGTGTCAACGATTGTGAGGTTGGCACAGGACCAACGAGGCAGTGTTTTGTTCTGTTGGGCGTAGGGTCGCTGTGAGTCGGTATCATCTTGATGGCACCTAACAACAACAGTAACAATAATGTGTATATATGTATATACATGTTTGTGTGTGTGTGTGTGTCCCCTTCATCTGATG